TGAATGTAACTGAGTACATTTTAAAGCATGTCAGAATGGTTATGCAACAGTTGCCTGCATCACAGCAGCCTTTTTACCAGGTTTTTTTTTGCTTGTAAAGGAAAGAAAAAAAACCCAACCCGTACCCTTGAATAAAACACTGTAGGCATTTTTAAGCTCCTGAAACACATGTAACTACATGAGAAATTGCTTCCTTCCCTCCACTGTGCTCAAATAGCTGTTAAAGTGGTATGCACCTCCTTGTCAAGGTGCTCACTTGGTAAGCACATACTCAGCTTCAAGAGTTTCTCTTACCCATTGCTTTCATTTTTTTTTGGGGGGGGATTTGTTGTTTTTTTTTTTCTTTCTGCCTTATTTTGCATACATAAAGTTAGGTCATGGGTAGGAGTCTCTGAAAATTCAGCCCGTGCTTGTATTTTTCAACAGGTTTAGACTGATATCTGTAGCTGTAGGGATCATAAAACACATCAGTGGTCTGTATGGACATCAAAGGTGTCACATTCATCTTGAATGGTACTGAATAGAGCTGACCACAGCTAGGAGCTGGGAATCAAGGCAACTGTGCATATGGGTGCCTTCCTACACAATGTGCTTGAAGACTCAGATATTACATACATAAATTCAGGATTCCATTACAGGGATCAAAAAACTTCAGTGAGTTAGACTCACTGTTTCAGTAAAAGCAAATCTACTGTTTTTCTTTTCTTCAGGTATCCTAAAACCAAGGATCACGAACACAATTTTTTACGTTTGTCATCTCTAGAATTCAGTTTGGGCAAAGACATGAATTGTCTATGGAGAAGAGAGACAAGTGCTGTACAAGTTCTTTTGTTCTGAACTTGCTTTAGTTCTGAACTTGCTTTAGTTCCAAGCTTAACACTATGAAATAAGAGAAAGACTCAAAATTTCAGGCAACAGCTAAACCATCCCTCCCAACTTTATTACTCTGGTGGGCACAAGTCACATTCTGTTCCTATGCTTTGAAAACAAGAGAAGGATGATACAATATCTCACACAGATCAAGCTGCCACAGGCAATGTGTACTGCAGCCAACTCATTAGCAGTTAATAGCGAGTAAAAAATACTCTAACTGCAGTATTAGACCATTGGATGATGGTACTTACATCCACGGAAAAGTTGCCTTGATTTGAAGGGAAGATGTAGATGGCTTTTAAATTTTTTTTTATTGCCCCCCCAGTTGAAAAAGCTAAAAGAGTAACTGGCTTTTTAGTTGAGTTAGTTAGTTTCTAAGTATCAGGGGAAAAAAGGGGTATGTTTGGTTTAAAATGTTTTGTGATTTTAACTTATCTTTAAAAACACCTTTTGAAAGATAAAGACAAAAATAAGACTTTCAAATGAAACCCTCCATAAATACTAACATTTGGATATTTCTACTTTATTTTATTAATTTGTTGCAATTGGGAACATTGTCAACTTTTGTTTATCTGCATTTTTGGGCAATTCCTGCATTCCATTTTCAATATTGCTTCTTTCCCAATCTCAAGTTTTGTTCACAGTTTGTCAAACTGTCCATGGAGAGGTTAGAGTGCTGAAAGTAATCAACAAATTATCTTTATTCCATCAAAAAAGAAAAAAATCAGAAAATATTTTATCCAACTCCTTAAAATCAGATTTGCTTTTAAAACACAGATGCCACCAGTTCTTGAATAAAGATCCTACCTTCTCCTGTTCCTGATGGAGATACCCATTCCAACTTCTAAAATAAAACTAGACAAATCATTTATTCACATTTTGCTGTCACCTCTCTTCCCATACAGGTGAGGGAATGCTGCTGTTATATGCTGCTCTCAAATCTCTTTGCAGTAACAATTTAGTTGATAAACTTAGTGTGTGACCTCTTCTCCTCAGATAGCATTGAAAAGATAAATAGTTTGAAAGTGACCACTATTGCCCTGAATCATACCAACAAAAATCTTAACACAGCAATAACTTGTTTGTAGCTGAAGGCACGTACCCAGCTGAATGACCATCTCAAATACAAACATACAAGCAGTAAGATGGACATAGCTTATGTACTCACCCTGAACTTGCTGCTAAATTCAGAACAGCTAAGAAAAGCATATAATTTGATACCAAGTCTTACAAATTCTGCGTAAACCTGTAAAACACACTGCACATCAAGTATTACAGAGCAGGACCCAGAGCTAATCATGTGCCCCAAAGTAGATCTGCTAAAAGGAATGATCACAGCCGTAACCTCGCTGAAGAATGCAGTACTCGCACCAAGACTAGATCTAAAAGCTCTATTCTAACACAACCAAAAGTGAAGTTTGATCTGTTAGGTGGCCTGTGAAACAACATGAAGACAATTGCAATGGTTTCCAGCAGGCCTCATATATCAACAGTTTCCTGCCTAGTCTATTGTCAGTTATCGCACTCCAAGGCTTGCGTTTTAAGAGGCATGGGTAAGAAGTCAAGTAATTCTTCACTGGGTGGGGATATTACATGGAGTCCCTCTTCCTTCACTTTCTACAGCAATTCAGTATTTCATAGTTTGCAGTGGTGCATCCTGCTAAAGCCACCTATTTATCACTCATTTGAGCTAAAAATGGAGTACCTAGATTTAAGATCCAAATGAAAATCAGAAAAAAATAACAGTACACTTATGATTAAAAAGGTTAAAAGATTTTTTTTTTTTTTTACCCCATATTAATTTACATTTTTGCATGGGCAAAAATAGCAGCTCTGGACAAAGCAAAGTATTACTTCTTTTGGAAGGTAAAGTAAGCATACATGAAGAATCAAAACATGCTCATTCTAACTGATGGGAAGAAGACCAAAAAAGAATAGCCCAAAGCAAATAGTTTTTCCAGCATAGAACAGTTGCTGTAAATTGACAGCATTCTTTCTCAACCTGCTTAAAGTTACAGATCTCAGACTGGCATAGAATAGGACTTTAAAACTCCCAGCAACGAAAGCAAGAGTGTTTGACACAAATTAATATTCTGGCACAATATCTAGGGCTGTTCTGAGAACTCACTATCTTCGCTCTTCCAGAATATATAAAGGCAGGTCCTCCATTTCGTATGACAAAATGCCTTCCCTAAAATTTTATTCCTAGAAAAATATTATTGCCCAATTTCACCGATACACCTGCAAGTGGTGGTCTCCAACATGCACTTAAGTTACTGCTTCAAGACAACTGTGATTAAATAGTTGGTTTCAGTTGAATTTAACATGTTTCAAAAGGGCAGTTTTCAGTATTAAAAGTTGGAATTAAAAACGTGACTGGATGAGGGCCTGCACAATCTGGTCTGAAGTCAATGCTGTCCTTGCTTAGGGCAGGAACGTGGCCCAGACACTCTGCCAAGATCCCTTCCAATCTGGATGATTCTCTGATATGGCTCTCTTCATACTTAAAGAAACTTTAAAAATATAAATCAGGAATTGAATATTTTACTCAAGTTCTTACATGTAGTTTAATTCAACATGTTCTTGCACTTAGGAAAGTTGAACTTGAAAAAGCCACTTTGAAGTCTATACAATAAAATATAACACACAAATCGGGATTCTTTTACATGCCTCTTCAGTGAAATACTTCAAAATATTTACAGTTTATTCTCATTTTATTTCATTGCTTCCATTCTAATACACTAAATTTGCAAGTAACAATATTTCAAAATAAAACCGGTTCCCACATACACTATACTTTCCATTTCAACATTTACACAATTTAAATACATGAAAGTTGGATTAATAATAACAAAGCAGACCTGCAAATTATTTGAAGTCAGAACTTATGAAATGCAACACCTTTTCATTATTTTGCCATGACTACTTTCCATAAGTTTAACTACTACACAACGATTAATGACTAAAATGCACATCAATTCACAGTATTCACAAAGATAGACTTGCCAGAAGAAAGTGTGAAAAAGACAGCAGCCTCTCATGTAACTTAAAAGCAATTCTCCACATGCCTTTTATTTGCTAAAAAACACTGCCCTCCAACTTTAATGATATTTGCTAATTAAATAAATGACTAAGTAATTCAGAATGATCAGAACTCATTTTCAGAGTGAAAGTCTTGATTTACCTTGGGAAGAGGGCAAAAATGGTACATTTCAGTAGTTAGCTTCCACATAAACAGATTCAATTCTGCTCCACAAAATATCTAATCCAACAGAGACTTTAAATGAAGGACATCAGTGCTAAATAGTAAGTAGATAATTGTTTACATACCTCTCTGATCTAACAAGAGAAACTCCAGAAATAGCCAATTAATTTTTTATGCTTTCTATACATTTTGAACACTGGTACTACCTACATTTGTAAGATTAATGTACTCTTATACGAAGTAGCAGAGTAAAACTGAATCCTGACGTTATGAGTGGAAAGCTGACTAAAAATGGCACTTACACATGGACACATCAGTTTCTAATTTGCTTTATTCACACACTTTAGTTACTGTAAGCCTTGCAAACGAACTGCAAGACAGCCAAATTTGCATTCTGTGCAACTTTGCCCAAACTCAAGTTATTTTGTACAAAGAAAAAGATTCCTCTTCATTGTCTTCAGCCACACTTCAGCAAAGAAGTCTTCCATGTACCTGTAAATTACAACATTTATGTCTACATAAGTTACATTTACAGTTTCTAATTTGCTCACAGGTCCATTAACGGCAAAGTTGAAAATATTTTTAAAAGACCAGTAAACCCATCAGTTTCCCACTTGCTAGTTCTTACAACTTATGAAAATAAATTCCTTTGAACTGGCTAGCAGTCCAAATTACATATCAGATGTGATATTTATAAAGCAGATATTAAGAATTCATATGCATTCCTTAAGTTAGTTAACTGGTAAGAGGAAAGTTAAATCCTCCCTCCAACCACATTTGAAATCCCATCTGCATGACTACACATATATTCAACTTGTGTGTATAATTTTAAATTTGAACAGTACTTTTAAAATTACACTTAAGAATCTATATCCCCATATTCAGAAGAAGTTCTTTTACAGTGCACCGAAAATCCACAGAGTGGATTCTTCAAACGTCATTTTCTAAGCCATTTAATTAGGTTAGTAAGTTAATCATGTCTACTGTGCTAAATCCACACCTGAACAGATTAAGAAATATTCTGAAGCAGTGTTGAGTAAATAATTTTGGTGAGCTGTAAAACTGCCACATGCAAGGTATACTGTACTATAACAGCTCCAAATCCTTTATAAAACCCTAGCATTCCTTCTTCCCGTTTTATAGTATTTACGCAGTCTCTCAATCCCTCATACTGAGTATTGATCGGAAGCACTTCATAGCCAAGGTCTGTATTGTCAATTATTGTGCGTGTCCCTTGAATATGAAGGCGGTGTAAAACTGTCTCCAACGGGTAAAGCATGACATCAGCACAAAGGCTAGCAGCAAAGCTAGCAAGAAGTTCTGGAAAATATGCATCCAGCATGCTCTGCACAGAAGTGGAGCTCTCAGTTGGAAGGCTGCGGGAATTATCCCTTTTCAGAACAAACAAAACAAGCTTCTGGACAATGGAACTGATGATGTAGTGAAGAACTCCATGTAGAGCAGTTGGAAAAGTCAAGACCATCAGAGGAAGAAGACGCTTGCTATGGGGTACTCCCATGCCTACAACTCTGCCAATTCCTTCTTTCACGCAGTCCAAGATGCCAGGGTTATCTCGGATTATTTCGCTCTAGAAACACAAAGGAATAATTACAACTTGTGATGAACATTTCATAACCATGCTGACATCTACTTTGACACTTTATCACTGCTGCTTTATAAGAAAGTTAACAATTTGCATGCTATCATATCTACACAGCTATACTGACAGGAATTATTTGCTCTAACACTCTTGATAGCATTCAAACAAACTTGCTTTTAAAAAAATGAACCCATATCAAAGAGTCTTTATGCAATGTACATTCCAGTTATTTGTGTTACTACCGAAGAAATTCAACTTTCAGCCTACTGCTGAGAGAATCAGTGTGCAAAATAGGCATGTACTGAAAATACCTAATCCTGGAGAAAAATTACAGTAAGTATTTAGCTAATTTAAAAGTCCTTTTCTTTAAGGACCATAACTGTAGTCTCTGAACTTGAATGTGCATAATAAAGACTTTCATAACTAAAGTTGAGTTGAAAGATAATTTTTAATTTGAATTTAATAGGTTCAGCTCTGAACATTTCCATTCCATTATTTGCATTTAAAATAGCACTCTTTACCCATGCTGACTGTTAGGGAAGAGTTAATTATTTCATTCATGTAGTGAAAATAAAGAATCCACTTAGTAATTTCAGTTACTCTCCTATACTCCACCTATTAGGATTAAGCTGAAGACACTGTTTCCTCTTCTAATACTTATACAAACTCAGCGTTTTATCATCTCAGTTACATCCAAAATTCAGAATTTGAGAGTTCTCCTCAATGCCCAAGTCTCTCAGTCTGTGCTGGCTGTGTCTTGAATTCATGCCAGGATAAACTACCAGAACATTCCTCAGTACTCTCAGGAAGGACTACTAATCTACAAAGCCTTCAGGGTCAGTCTATGCAGAAAAGAAACTAGTTTAAACACTTGAGAATACAATGTTGTTCTACACTTTAACCATAAGTTAAGCTTCACTCATCTTCTCCCCCATATTATTATACTCTGGCACTTCAAAACTGTGCTTCCTTTTGTCAAACACGCCACCAAGTGGACTGAAGAGTTAAAGACAAAAATAGTAATGTGATAGCTACAAATTTCTACCTTTTACAGTTATTTTGATTAAATGTATTTACTAGAGAAGCGTGTCAAACTAATACTCTGACTATGGTTTATAAGAACTAAGACAATCAAAGTTAATGTAAAACTGTTAGTAAAAAATCCCACAATCTAACTTTTATAGTTTGTTACTGCTCACTGTCCTCTTGCAGCACAGGAATATAATGTAAACCTGACAAGGCAAGTTGCTTCCCTGCACTGATCAATGCAGCATAAGTAAAAACTTCACAACTGCTATCATTACCTCTGTTGTGTTTCTAATAAAAAAGCTGCTGATGATGTTTGCAGGAACCGGAGAATACATTTCATACAGTATATATACACCTACTCAGTAAAATATTTGCACACAGTTAAACCTACTAAGCCTAAAACCCTCAGATCTCAGTGGAATTATTTTCATAAATAATGCTGTACAGAGGTGATTACGGGTCAAAAAGGTCAGGGAGATGCTGTTTTTCCTTTTTTATTTGTTTTCTTATTAAGCTGCTTTCTAGCAAAGAAACTTTATTACTTATTTTGCAAACAGAAGACAGGCATTAAATCATGTGCCCTTTTATCATTTACTAGGTACATATGTTGCCATGTCCAACAACACAGATAACATCCTTTCAGATGAAAATACAAGCAGTAAGATAACTGATTAAAATATTCCATTCTGTGGCTTGCTATGAACTCAAGAAACATGAATAGTGTTCTACCACTGTACCTACATCTAGGCTTATGCCATGCTCGGGGTAAAGCCGTTCCCAAGGACATGAAAGAACTTCCAAAGTTAGCTTCCCAGTATGAGATGAGCTAAATCTTTACAACACCTCAACAAACTCAGAGATCCACTCAGGCTAGATTTATGGCACATTATTTGCAAAATAATTCAACAGGAGGAAGAGGGTTTCGTAAACACAGTAACTTTAGAAAATTTGAGTTTGTGGTTGGGAGTCTATTTACATGCCCCCATGCAAAGATGTTTAATCTCATCTGTTCTGTTAGTCCATGATGTGGCCAGTTCAGATGGAACAGCCTTCCTAGTACCTTCTGGCTTCTTTAAGTCTGGATCCTCTGTGCAGTGCAGAATCCTGTCTCTTAAGAGTACCTGCCTCTCAAGTACATGCTGAAACTAAGAAACTATAGAAGTCAACCTTGTTTGCCTCTTCATAGCAAAAGCACCATTTCGTAGACATACACCAGCAGTTGAACAGTTAGTTTAAACAGCTGGATCTAAATCAGTCTTGACAGTACTTACAACTTGCCTATGCTATGAATGAAAATTATCATTTTGATGACTCAGTTACATGAGAGTGACTATCCTGCATCACTCTCCACACAAGAACTCACTTTACAGTAAGAGTTCTATTAGCTGTACAAAGATACTACCATGTTAACTAAGAGCAACTCATTATATAGAGGTAACTAGAAGAATTACCCTGGACCTTTTCTGCATAGCAAAACCTTGTCTCTTTCTCCAGAGGAGATGTAACAATTCACTGAAAGACAATTGGCAATACAGTGCTATGAGTTACTTCATACAGTTATAGAACAAGATAAGCTGCATCCTAAGCGACAGGTCCAGATACTTATTTTCATGGCTAAGGAAGAACTAGATGAAAATTTAAAAGCAACAACTTGGCTCAGTGAAAGTATTGTCCTGAGCTAGTAGAGTCTACTATTTTAGCAAAGCAAAGCTGAATTATTGGAAAAGCTTTGTAGTTCTACAGGGGGAGGGGTCACTGAAACAACTTGCCTAGCAAGCCTTTTAAAACCTTTACATGATAAAAATTTCTTTATGGTTTATGTGCTAGAACACATACATGCAACTTGTCCTTCTTTCACAGACAATATATTCCAACTGTCTATATTAAATGTCATTTCTAATTCTAGATTTAGACTTAAGATAGTACAATATACCCATCACAGTAAATACTTTTATCTCAGTTAATAAGTCATATAGCCTCAAGCAAAACAAATGCAACTACTGCAACATAAACCTGAATCCAAAGCCAAAGGTTGACTTCCCCACATAATCTAACCTATAAAGAGATTTTTAAATGTTGCAAATATATGTAAGTTACCTGTACAGTTTCAATCAGGCTCGCAGAATAAAAAGGCATTGCTATCACATGTGTTAAACTGTAGAAATTAACAACATAAGAATTAAGGTCATGACAACACTATAGTTTTAGCCAAATATGCACTTGAAAGTTGATAAAGTTATCTACCAAGTCATGCCTGAGAGAAAACTAACAAACCATAACTCACTTATTAAAATACACATCAACAAGTTGAGATAAACTTCAGTCTGAAGTTCTGTTAAATTCCATGTTAAATTTCCATGTGACCAGATTGATTCAGGTCTCCCAGATATCATAATTTAATTACGAAAAGAATCTGATCTTTTAAATTAGTCAGGTTCCACAGAGACACAGGGATCTAATAAGAGAAACTAATTTGTGAAAGTGGTGTATGCAAACAAGACTGTTCAAAAAAGTCAAAATTTGCAAATTACTATTAGCACCTTGTCAAGTAATCATAGCTGCAGATTAAACTAATGTGCATTTAGTAGTTTTATAAACGTTAGATAGTAAGACATAAGGTAGTAACACATACTATACTTACCCTTTGAGTAGAAGGTGTCCACCGATCTGCTTGAGGTTCCATTTACGTGAAAGTTCCCTAAAAATAAAAGTATTTACACTTTAATACGGATATGAACAAGTTACACTCAAGCATTTCTTTCACGGGTGTCAATATCCAGTTTTCATACTGGTGCTGAACTACTGGTTTACATTGCAAGATTTCCCATAGTGGAAAGACGCATCAGCTACTCATTTAATAAATCACGCTTAACTTTTAGAAGTTATTTGTGTCTGTTAGCCATTCTATCAAAAAAGCCTTCAGTTATTAATAAGGTCTCTGTAGCTTCCCCAGCTACTGGCTTTAGTGTTTTGCATTTATTTTGCACCCTTATTCACTAACTCAAAGCCATTTTCAGGGAATATTGGATTATGTTAAAATCACAATAGTTATCGTTTATCAACACACGTTCTTTTATTATGCTGTGGTTTCATTATGCTTCTTCTGTTCTTTGAGGTTATGTTTGCCCAGTTGTTGTTTCTTTCCCAAAAACCTAAATCACATTCTGAGACCGTTAGGCAAATCAAATACAATAGGTCAGACTACAAGCTGCATAGTAATTCTGTGGAGACTTAACAGGTCTTTTGAGTCTTTAGCATATCCTGACAAAACAAAAGAAAACCCATGTGTTTAAAACAAAGGTGACTTTGAAAAAATCCCCTTAAAGTTGTATTTTCTAGTTATGCACTTCAAAATATGAACAGTAAACATTAACGACACTCCACTTGACAGAAAATGTAATCCCACCTAGCTCAAGACAACATTAAAATACAGAATGTATTTACCATACATTAGGTAAATACTCCAGTTATGAGGGAAAGATATTTCTGTTTCAAATGATGGACACATTAGCCTATGCATTTTTAATAACAAGCTATAAAGTGCTCAGCTTCAATTCTTGTCCAGGAATCATTCTCACCCACTGCCTGTAGTTATAACAACTCTAATCCAAGAAAGGAAACTCTTTACTCTTTCTGAAGAATTGTGTGTTACTAGTAGCTATTAATTTCCTAAATACACAGGCCAGTCACAAAAGAGGAAGGGAAGATCATTTACCCTTATGTATTTCAGACACTTGGATCACATCCACTGAGCCATAACACTTAAAAGATGTGGAAAACGGAACCAGCCAAACTAATGTGTGAAAGTCTAACCTGTCAATCCACTAGGTATTAAGTATTCCTGCAGAGAAAGAACAATTACAGAAGGAGTTTGTCTAGTACAGAACTATATTCAACTTTCTACAAAAATGTTTACACCCATTTCTGGGTCCCTCTCCTAAAACAGGGGGATTCTTTTATGTTATTATGATATAGACCTGGAATTGACATCTCACTTCCTTGTGTTATTTGGAGCTTGATAACATAGTTAAATAACCTTTTAAATCAGATTTGCTGGCTTTGCTGCTATAAGCAATAACCTTCACCTTCCTGTGACAGCCCAAACATGCATACTACCATTAAAAAGCAAAGGAGAGCATCCAGCAGAAATCTGCATGGAGTGGAGCATGTACATGACAACCATTTCAGCCAGGTCTCTTCCCGAACCCAGTTCATTTCATGACTATCCACATACTGCGTCAGCACAAGGAGGGGGATAGCACTGAGGAAGGAATAAGCAGGTACGAGCAGAAAGGACTGATTCATTTGGCAGTGCCATCAGCTTACTTTCCAAACTACTGAATAACTGGCCCACAAGAAGAAAGTCCTTGCTTATCTTGGACAGAAATCAGAACTCTGAAAATATAAACATTATATTGCATCTCATTAACTTAAGCATCCCCGAGAGCAGTACTTCAAGCCAAGAATAACATGTTACACTCTGAGGAAAGCGTATGAGTATATGACTGTGAGTTTCATTTATGTATGAGACAGAGCTGACCAAAAAGCTTAAACACACACTGCACACAATTTAAGTATGTAAGGCTTTGCTAATGTTTCTGATGAATGTCAGAACCTGCAAAGACTTACTCTTATTATTACGCACGCATGTATCATAACAGTAGTTTGATTCAGCCTGCCTACATTTCTTAACTTTAAAACCAGTTTAAAAACATTTTCCATGTCCCTTAAATCTTTGTTTTCTGTCCACACTTTAAAAATAGGCACCTGTCTCGTCTAAAGGCTAACATGATTATCAAGCCCACTGGTCCATTCAAACTTAACCAGCCTGAAACCCAACCACTTGCCTGTCTCCCTAATATATTTTCCAAGACAGGTCTTCATCATTTCACTGGCTTTGATGTGTGCCCTGCAACTGTTAAGTATCTTTTCCTAACTTTTGGTTACCTCACAGTCTCCTTGTATTTCACTTGCCACAAGTTTTAGTTACTTTATATAATAAACTCTCTCACACAACCTGCTTATTCTTAAAATATCTATAACAAAACTGACAACATATACTATTATAGCTGTCAGCCCTTACTGTTAGCTCCGAACCAAACAAAACGTTGACAAAAAAGGTCTTCAGACAAAAATTCTTTACCAGATTTTTATGTCAAAGCAGAAAGACATCATAACGTTATACCATAATCTGGGAGTTATAGTTAAGCATAAATAGTAAGTAGAGTCACAAATCAACATTAAAAATTATTACTAAACTCCTGTAGCCGAAGATGGACACGGTGAAGTAGAATGATGAATATCTCTTTAAATGAAGTCAGTCATTTTTAGTTGTAACTCTTTTATTATGAGAATACTGAACAAGGTACATATATAGTTGTTGGTAAAGGAGGACAGAAGACAAAGCTGTCAGCCACATAGACTTATTTACCATAACTTCTCATTTATTAATGCAGGCCATTCTGTTCTCTCATCTACCAAAGACAGCGCCAATGTTCAGCAAGATGTCAGTGCTGGCTCATTAGCCTTGCAAGTTTTCTGTATTTAGCTTAATGAAACCAGGACTTTTTATTTTTGACACAGAATTTGCTAGTACCACACAATACAAACCAAGATACAAAAAGAAACAGGAATTCTTTCATTACAGTGGAATTATACTGAAGACCAATTTGCTACATTATTTCTATACTCAGATCAGTAGACAGACATGTCAAACATACAAAGCTCCCAGAAAGTCTCTCACTGTTTATTAATCACAAGGTTGTCTTTGACAAGACAACTACACTGTGCTGAAAACACCTATTCAATGTCTGATTGTTCTAATCAAGTAAAATTTCTAACATTTTGAATATAAGTCAATAACTGATGATCAATTTGTAAGAAGCAGTAAAAAACCCAAGCAATACCTTGGCAAAGGTGTAAATTCACTGATGATCCCTTCTGTTCCCAGGGTTATGCCCTGAACAATGAAAGTGCTGCCCATTCCTTTCCAGAGAGCTCTTGGACCCTGTGTTTCAAAATATGCAACTTATTGTTATTCATGCAACATAAAACCTTTTAATCTTACTAATTTTAATAAAATTTCAGCAAATTCAGACTGCACAGGGCTCCAATTCTATCATTAAATTTCATTATCACTTTCAACTCTGAAGAAACTTTTGTTCTTCAATAATTTCAAACAGTTGTCAACAATTTTAGAGGTATGTCTCTCATCGTTAATACTCTGTACTATGAACTTAACACTATTTTCTATAGACAAAATGAGCTCAAGATGTTAAAACACATCCAGAAGAAATACAGAAAATCTTTTCCTACTGCCTTCTGATCTAAGTTTCAGGATTGCCATTCCCATGCAGAACTGGAAATTCATGCAATACTATATTTGGAAGTAGTTATGTGGATAATCTCTTTATCCATATAAAGATTAATTAACTTTTAGAATCCTATTTTTAAAAAAAATAGTTTCAGTGACCTTTTTTTTATAACTTCTGCAATTATTATCCACTAAATACTATAATACTTAAAAAAAATTTACAATTATCCTCTTGAAACATTTCTGCAACCATAAAAATAACAAATCCTTACAACAGCCATGTTTTTTAACCACGAGTTACATAAAGATGTCAAGGTACATATGTGCCATAGTAACCTTCACTGCTCAGATAGAGCCTGACACCCAACACTGACCTGTGTCTTATTGATGCTGTACATAATGTTGACAATAGTAAAAGGAGTGAGATGATAATTCCGAGCATGATAGTTAACCTGTTAAAAATATAAATAATGGCAGTTTTATAAACTTACTTGCAGATGTTAAAACTCTAAAGGAAAAGCACTTCCAAAATTACTTTATCCCTGTAAAGGTCAGTTAAAGTGACCAAAATATTAATTTCTCACTGAAACACAGGGAAATGGGCAGAAATTTTACATATTTGTATGCTGAAAATGTAAACAATAAAGGAAACAAAAAAATATATTGGAAACAAAGCATTCTGCTCGTAAATGGGGATCTGGAATTTGTTCTGCAGACTCTGAACCACTTACTTGCTGTAATTCATTTTCCACTCCCAAAAAAATGAATAAGAATGTTCAAGATAAGTTAAATTTCAGAATAGAAACATGCATGCCACAAATAAAATCATGTTAATGTAGCAGCATCTTCTTAAGAATTGTAAAGCTTCCTTATACTCTACAGAGTATGAAAACACAGAAATATAATGGTACACAGGAGGTCTGTCTGGAAGAGATAATAGAAAAGACATACCTGACATTGACGACGCAGAACAATGCAAGGATGTGCCAACACATTTTCTGTAAACAGGCTGTAAAAGAAAAGTGTACTTAAAGCACAAGAAGCCACTGTAAATTAGAAAAGGCTTGCTACTTTTGTCTAACATTAGATCAGTATTTGGAAAAACTATACATTATCTAATGATAATGAGGCATTTTGGATGGCTACTTGATATCCTGTCAATGCTATAAAGAAACAAGTATCAAAGCCCCTAACACATTAATTCACAATGAAAAAGCCCCCCCCCCAAATATACACATATACACATACATATACACACAGTATGTATGTATTTTTATAGGCAAAACAACGTACCAAATGTCTTAAACTTCCCCTCCACAAAATGGGAGGGAACAAACCAAGCTAGAGCCAGAATTATGGAAGGATTAGTTTCCAGGTTTATGTTAACTCTGCGTACCGCATTACTAGTCAAGATGCTCCCTAGTGGGGTCAGAGGATTGGTACTAATAGCTGACATTTTTGTCATCAGAAAATGCTACTGCCCAAAACTAACTCTCCCTCCACACCCAGAAATGGCACTTCAATCAAATCTTCACAGGGACGTTCTCTCAGTTCTAAAGTAGGATTCCTAGTCACAATCACACAGAGAAACTTTTCATTTCATCTCAAAGCACCTGAGTGATCAGAGTACTTAGCTGTATGTGGTTCAAACCTGGGATATGGATGAGAAAAGCAAAACCTCCAGGCTTTGTCCAAATATCCCAAGCAGCAGCGCTGACCATCACCTTACAAGATCACCTAGGGTAGGTCTCTTATGAGGATTTTATTCTGGATAAAAAAGTACTAATTGGCATGTACAGAGCCTGCAGTTTCATAACTATTAAGCTAACTGGTAGTCTGCTACTACCAAAAGAGATAGAACTTTCCCTCTACTCCAGCTGCTATGTATTAAGCCCTCCTTGTAGAGAACTCAACTGATCTCACAAAAAAACCCCTAACCTTTTATTTTGGGTGTTTTCTACAAGACCTCAGGCTTGACCCATGTGTGCCTGACAAGTGATGTAGTACAAATGCAAAAGCAGAAGCAGGCAGAATAGCTCTCAGCAATCATACAATGCTGGTCATCTCTCTTTCCCAAAACCACATGCCCATTTTAGCTTTAGTGATCATGGTGCTCAGGATGTGGAAAACTTTGTCATGATTGATTACCTAAAAGGACAAGTGAGCCATGCAAAGCATCGCTTTGCTCTTGAAGACGTACATGCTTCTGCTCTATGTCTCCACTCCTTTGCTAGTACTCTCCTGAGCTCATTCAGCTTGATAAGGTTGGAAAGAAATCAAACAACTCTTTACATGTTGGGGAGGGTTAATTCTTCCCTTCTTGCCCTCCATCAACTCTTATTTTAAAAAAACTGAACAGGCTCATCGAGAGGTCTGAATGAGCAAGCTGAGCCCCTGCAAGGGAAGCAGCGGGAGAAGAGGGACAGGCAGTTTCATGAGACAGGGCAATCTAACTTAAGCAACTCGTTACTTGCCAAGATATTGTCATGCCTATTCCTCCTTCACTCCTTCCCTCTCTAGACCAGTTAGCTGGTGTTTGCTGGCTTTCACAGCTAGTCAGCTCCCAGGTAAATCAACCTAACTGAAATAGCAAAAAATAATCCCACTCATTCATTGACTTTGTCTTCTGTTTTAATGAGTCAAACTGATTAAAAGAGGTTCTGATGGGCATCAAGGGTACTAACAACAGGGTAAGGAGCAGGACAGGCTGGCAGTCAAGTAAAAGGTTCTTCTCTTTAAGCAGAAGTACACTAAGTACCTCAACTGACATAGCTTCCCATGATGGTCTAACTTGGCAAGTGACACAAGTACTTTCATGTTCTGAAGAGAGAAGCACTATTCTTTTAAGTTTCATATTCAGGTCAACAAGGAGTAAAACTCTTTCCAGTCCTAACTTTTCAAGACAAAAAACCCCACCTCCCACCCTTTTGCAAGTTCCATCAGCACCCTGACCAAGAAAAACCTCATCAGGAGAGTGTGATCGAGCAGGCATCCTACAGAAAAATCCTAAGCTTATAACGATCCTTACACTTGAAAATTTAAGCTCTGAAAATGTTATTAAGCGTGTTGAAGTCCACCACTTTCTCAAAAATACTATGAATAATCAGTAAAGAATAAAATGTTTATCAGACCACTTGGCTAGATCAACATTACTATTCCAGGATATTTTGATAACTTACTTGAAGACATTTTTACCTTCCTAGGAAACATCTGCATAACCTAAAAATATTAATAAAAGTGGCAAACGTGAAAACAATTTTCTCATGTTATTTTTAGTTTGCTCTGATAGGCTACACATATCCTGCACATACTGTACAAAAAACTGTTTCTTATATTCACTGCTGATTAAGTAATTTTGAGAAACACTTCAGTTAAAGGGAAAAGAAACCTACATGGATTTCAGGTAGTAGGTTTCTAAAGGCATTTCAACTGCCTAAGTCTACTGGCATAAAAACACAACACAAAGGTGTACATAGGAATCATTAAGACAACTATAGCTTTACTACTTCATTACTGCAGAAAATTATTACACAACTCTTACCTTGCAAGACCAATACCAAAGCCTGCAAATCTGTTCAATTGCTCTGAAAAAAATGAAAACATTATACAGAAATGATAATTACAAAGCGGGAGAAAATGCCATGCACATGATATTAAAAACCCATTCTATACTGTACTTGCTTCAGAAAATTACAAGCACTAAACAACAACATTTACGGCAACTCAGCAAGAGAGGATACGAAAAATTATTCCCCCAGGAATATTTGTACTTTGGACTGAATTTGAGTTTTTACATACTTTTATAAATAAACTTGTTCTCGTCTTAAAACAGCTACGGGGTGGGGGGGAAAAGACAAAGTGAACAGTGAAAGAGGAAATATTCTAATATCTAAAAAAATCTAACTCAAACCAACCACTGAAAAAATTAGCATGCAGGACAATCTACAATAATTCTGAAACATAAACTTAGATATCTGAGGTGAAATGAATTTTAAAAACAAAACTAGTATAGAGAAACTTTGGGAAAAGTAAACACAAAACATCACTGATGACATAACAAATATCAATGTGACATGAATTCTCAAAGTCAGTTATCTCCACTCATTTGTGAAAATCTAGTTACTAGACAACTGTTAAAGTTGCAACAAGTGTAACGGCTCAATTCTCTGTTGTCTGCTACCAGACATACACTTACACATTGGGAATTATCAGACAATATTTTTAAGAAGACTATCAGAACTGTAAAGGCAACTGAAAATCAATGCTGTCCCTACAATCTACAGGGTGCAAGCAGGCTGTACGCATGGGTAATGCCAGTAACTTCAGTGGAGCTACCCACAGATGTGGCAGGCCTCCTAAGAGGAATGATAAGACTCTCTCCAACTGCAGAAGCTGGACTCAGTGATACAACAACTCCTTATCAGTCCTCCAAAATGCAAAATCAACATACTCTCCATTAACAGATAGGACCCCCCCCAAAAAAAAAGTATGGGGTCTAAGTATCTAAGAACATAAAAGCACTGCTTTAAGTAGTATTTGCATGGATGAAAATCCAGTTAAGGTTGTACTCATTATAAGACCTGAACAAAAACACTGCACTACAAGTTAAAAATCCTCACCCATTAATAGCACTAAAATGTAAAGAAATTAGGCTTTCATAAAACTCTGATACTCAAGTGTATATAAAGTGCTGCAGAACACCCTTTTAATTAAAGAAGACAATGTTCAGTAGCTTAGATTTCACAAGTTTCTCTTAATTCACTTCAGTTTCACAGAGACATAAAATTATACTGTATTTCTGAGGGTTTCTGCTCAGTTTCCCAGCAATTACTGGAAAAGATGTGAACACGGTTGCTTCCTCAAAATCTACCGCTTCCACATCTCCTTCACTACCACGCATGGAGAGGGGTTTTATTTCAGCAGCTCACTCTCTATCCTCTGTACTTTTTCAACATAATAAAGCAGCCAGAAGACACGAAGTCTGAAACACCAGCACTGACCTAGTAACAAAAGTATACTGTAACACTCAAAGGTACTTCCCGCCCTTACAGAAGATGGAGCAGTTTTGCAGAGTATCGTTTACACAGGCAATGGGGAGCCGACCACACGCTGCTTAACCAGAAGCTGGAGGGTGCTTTCCGGCACTCTCCATCACATTCGCGTGTAACTACGTGGCGCTACACAGCGAGGCGGGCGCTGGAGTGCAACCGACAGTGGAACAGGTTCTCTTGTTTCTAAAGGACTTTTTTCCTGGGCTTCAGCACCGCCATCCCGCGGCTGCAACGCGCCTCCGGGCCCGGGCACAGCG